ATACTCCAATAACCAGCCTACCAACTTTACCAAACTCATTAATTAAACTCAATTGTAAAAATACTCAAATAACCAGCTTACCAACTTTACCAAACTCCTTAACAATACTCATTTGCAATAATACTTCAATAACCATCCTGCCAACTTTACCAAACTCCTTAATGGAATTCTATTGCTATAATACACAAATAACCAGCCTACCAACTTTACCAAACTCATTAATTAAACTCAATTGTAGAAACACTCAAATAACCATCCTGCCAACTTTACCAAACTCCTTAACGGAACTCTATTGCTATAATGCACAAATAACCAGCCTACCAACTTTACCAAACTCCTTAATTAAACTTTATTGCGGTGATACTCAAATAACCAGTCTACCAACTTTACCAAACTCCTTAACGGAACTCCATTGTAGTCGTACTCAAATAATCAGCCTACCAACTTTACCAAACTCCTTAACGAAACTCTATTGTAGTGATACTCAAATAACCAGCCTACCAACTTTACCAAACTCCTTAACGAAACTCTATTGTAGTGATACTCAAATAACCAACCTACCAACTTTACCAAACTCATTAACGGAACTCTATTGTAGTCGTACTCAAATAACCAGCCTACCAACTTTACCAAACTCTTTAGTAACCCTATTTTGTTATAATATACAAATAAATAGTTTGCCAAATTTACCTGATTCCTTAACGAAAATTGACCCAAATTTTTTGAAAAATTCAATACTTCATTAACTCTCCTACAAATCCTGCTTATTTTATAAAATATTCTATTAGTAACCTTCTATAATTAATGTCAAGTTTTTACTGAGGATAAACATTTTTTGGTAAATTTTACTACAATTACATTCATTAATCTTTAGGAAATGACTGCGTCTCATGAAATTTTGTTGACTTTTCGACTCTTTTATATAATATACTTTGTCTCGTGTCTTGATATTAATAATAAGACTTTCCATTGATGCTCGCTTCTATGGTATTTGTTAAAGTGTATTTTATATAAATTTTAAAATATCATTATTAGAAGTTGAATACTTATATAAATTATTAATAAAATATTTTTAATAAAAATGAAGAATATGACAAATTTGTGATGTTATAAAGTCTAATTGATAATGCCAATGAATTTGAATAGATATCATGACATTTAAGCCGAATAAAAATTCTAAGTGTATAGAAAGTGTGAAGATGAGTTAATATTTCTAAATTTAATGCAAATATATCTAACGTTCAAAGTTAATTGCAGAATTCTATCAAAAATTTAGTATGCAAATAATTTTAGAAAACCTTGGCTGATACAATAAACGAACTAATAGAATTTTTCTTTTTTAACAAATATTGTACAAATCTTTATGAATTTTTTTTATAAGAAAATCTTCATGTCGAAGCTACAAAGAAAATGAGAAATTTAAGTAATTTATTTATTAATATCTGACGATTATAAGATAATATCCAAAAGTACTGTTTTCTATTCTATTAAGTTTCTTCTACCAATTTTACTCTATTATCAAATACATATATTAAATTATACACTAATAATTATTATTGGACATTTTTACTAGGAGCATAATAAATATAAATTCAAATAATTGCTAAATAGAGTCGAATTAACCTATAATAATAAAAACATAATCATATCTATAATATATAATTTATTATTACGTAATTGCCGCAATAATAATAGGGCTAAAGGTATAATTCAAGGCATCTGCTATTACAGCTTTAATGGATTTGAGAAAAATAATAAAGGAATGATCAAAAAAATAAAAATAAAATATGAAAAACAATAAAGAATAAAAAATAAACATTAAAAAGATTCATCATAATAATCAGAAAAATCATAACATTCATTGATGAAATTAATGCAATTATAAAAAAAAGCAAAAAAAAGAAAGTGACACCAGGAAATTTGGCTACAATGTTTGTCATTTTTGGCAGATGACATTTGACATTTCGGTCTAGCTATTAATTTAACTTTCTGTGTATAAGCCATTCATTGATAATTTTAAGAAGATCCATGCCAAAGCCCAAGGAAGGAAAATTTGTTATAAAAGAAGGACGTTTCGCCTTGTATTTTCGATAGGATTCAGAACATGAACGATCAAAAAAGGAAAGAAATATTTTGAAATTGTCTAAAGTAAAATGTTCTACAGATGTATATCATAAGTTAACAAGACACTGATTTGATTAATGCATTCTATGAAACTTCGGTATATAAAAAAAAATTGACAAACGACCATATACTGATTGAGCCATGATCCCATATCGAAAATTGACTGTAATTTTTAATTCATAAGTTTTGCATTCAATATTCAATAAAGTATTTATGTTATATTTTAAAGAGGTGAGATCATTATTAGCCAGTTAAAGATATTTTTAATTAAATGAAGATTTTGGCCAAAATTATAATTTTCAGGATTAATAAATTTATAGTGCCGGTTAATATCATTTAGGATTATAATGACGCATGTGGCGTCATATGTTTATTAAATAAAATCGCCATTTAGAATTGTAATTAGCGCTGCATCTGGTCAATAAACAAATTTGAGTTACTGTATATAAACAAGTTTGTAGAGTTTTCAATTTACTGTATTTCATTTTTGAAATATATTTTTTTTTATTTTATTCTTTTTTTACGAGACCCTAATAAATTTAAAAAATCTAATGCTATTATTCGTGAAAATGTTGACCGGAAAAAGCATATTGCTGGAATTAGAATTCATGATACCATCGATCAAGTTAAAGCAAAAATCGAGGATAAAGAAGGCATGCCCGCTTATATACAACATCTAATTTTTGCTGGCAAACAATTAGAAGATGGTCGCATCTTATCTGATTATGATATAAAAAAGGAATCGACACTTCATCTTGTACATATACTGCATGGTGGTATGTTCCAAGAAACCAGTGGCCGCATAGGATTCGAAGCATTGCCACCTCTCACCAAATACATACAAACAGCCAAAAAAAACCCTTAATGACGTACCAGTTGCCATTTCTCCAAAGCTTCTAACGACTAAAGAGGAGATGTTAACCCTGCTACGAAGCAATTAAACCTACCAACTGAAAACAAAAAAAGATTTAATAAAAACAAACAAAAAAGATCAGCTTTCTGGAATTAAAGTTTACTAACCAGATTTAGAGAAAATATAAATTAAACCTTGTATTTAAAATATTCCTAAATTTACAAAGTTTTTTTTTTTTGTTCCTTGTAAACAGTAAATCGTGTCATAATGCAAGCATTGTAATTTTAATTTTAACTATTTTTAAAATAAATACTACAAATCCTACATTCCATATAACACAAAATTTTGAAATCGACTACGTATACTTTCTTTTCAAATCAACACTTGGGAAGATATTAACAACCAATAATTATGGATATATTTACGTGAATTAACTCGGCTAAATTTGATGAAGAAGCCGTGGGGAAACATTGAAGTTTACGGAGTGTTCTAAAATCTTGGACGTCAATTAAAAACTTGTGGCGATGGGAAGTTTCTTTTCTAGCAATTGAGCCTTATTTGATTATATTAATTTCTTAATTCTATCCTGTATAAAAAATATTTTATTGAAGCAGTCTATGTGCAGACACCCTGCATAAAGATATATTATTTATTTTCCCACAAAACTTATCATACCATAACTAACACAAGAAGTATTGTTTACAATAGAAAAGATGTTACTCTCGTAGAAAAAACTATTTTCGGCTGCCACGTCTCACTCTAACATAAATTAGGTGGCATCTGAGTGACAAATAAGAAAAATCGTTCCCATACTACATAGTAAAAAAAGGATCACGTTATGGATATATGAATTGCTGACCATTTTTGACATTAGGGATCAATTTAAATTGTATATCCGTCACTCAGCCGAAATCCTATTGATATTTTTAAGGAATTCCATAACATAGCCATGGGAAGGAAAAACTGTTATAAAAATGCTCCCAAGTTTCTAGGATTAGGTTAGCATTGCCTTCTTTTAGGGTCTATTACAAAGCGCCGGCGGAGGCAATAAATTTTGTAATTCTTTGTATTCTATAAATAAAATCTTATTTTTTTTCCCTATTATTTAATTTCGATTATTATAATATTAAATTGATCAACTCTCGTGAAATTAAGAGATGATAAATACATGGATCTGGTTTTTAAATATGCTATATTATAATTTAAAAATTTACTTATCAAAATAAGCTTTTACAGCTAATTTCATAATTCGTGGACCACTAATAAATTGCGACTGAATGCAACTGAAAATATTTTATAATAAAATTACTATAAAATATTGCGACTGAATGCGACTGAAAAATTATTAATGGTCCATGAATTATGAAATTAGCTGTAATGTAAATGAATGTAGTTATATATTCAATAAAAAAAATATTCAACTTAATAGCTCAGAGAGAAACTTATTTAATATAAAATCTAAAAATTGATAACTAAAATTATCCAAAATGCAATTTCTTAATACATGATGTTAGCCACGAATTATAGTAAAAATCAAATAATTGAAGAGAATTAACTATGAGAGGAACAATTAAAGAATCAAGAAGCAAATCGGAAAAAAAATAGATCTATAGCGATATTCATGAAGAATTGAAAAATATTTTCATACGAAATTTTTCGTTATTTTCTAAATATTTTCCATTATTTCGAAATATATTAAGAACGGTTCGTGGCCTGGCGAAATTTAGTCGTTTGTCAATAACTAAATCGTATTTTAAGCTAATGATTAAGCAAAGCAACTTTGAATCCTAATTGACGGGAATGCTCTATTGTTACCCCATTCTTAAGTTCGAATTTAATAAATAATGAATGAAAACTCTCTTAATGGATAAAACTCCCGTTTTGTTTGATCTGACGAATCTATATATCAGATATTTGGCTTAAACAGAAAGAAATACAGTTAGAAAAAGGATGGTGAACCATTAAGTGATCGATTAGTAAATCATACTATCAAGTTTGGTGGAGGAAGTGTGTTCATATGTATCTTTACCAAATTCTAGCTATATTAACTATTGGTAGTTAAATTAATTAGTAAGATAACACATTGACAAATCACAATTTTCGTTGCATAATTACATATTTATATACACATATGTTATATAAAACGCCATGAAATTAAATAAACATAACTGTGCTGTAATAATGTTGTAATCGCTACTATGAAATTTATAAATAAAATAATACTTTTATTTATAGCTTAATATGATCGATTTATCTAGTATGTTCATCTATAATCTATCACTCATTTTAATTATTCGACGCATGCATATTTTTATAATTTGTTATATAACGATATAATTATTCTTGAAGAAAAAGCAAAATAAATTCTTTTGTCATATGGAACTTACGTGATAAACGCGTCATTAGTAAATAAAAAGACTTATGACTGCCAAGCACACTTGATACTATATGACTTACTATACTATATTATATCTCAACCTTGAGGAGTATTTTTATCGTTTTTCTGTTTTCATTAAGGAACTGCAAGTAAGAAACATTTTCCGGAAATGTCTTTTGCACATAATACCATTAATACTTCCACGCAATTGATTAAAGGAGAATAACTAAGATTACCAAAAGAGCCGAGAAATATATTATCAGCCACAATTATTTACTTGACTGGAGTAGCAGTATTGGGTAAGAAGAATTATTTGACCTTGGTAGTGGCAACGCTTGCCTTTTTTGCGAGAGATAGAAAGTTTGGTAACAGGTGGTAGAAAAGTAATGATGTTCCATTATTCTTTAATCGAAGAGCAAATCTTGACGAGTAGATCCTAAGTGAAACCTTTGTCCCACCATTAGCGACCCATTATCCTTTCTGCCCTTCATACTTATTATATTGATTTAACTTATGAATCACGTCAAACTTGAGTATAAAGATTTAGGTAGGTATAATACCTGCAAAAATTAGCGAATCAGTTATTTTTCTCTACTGAACTCTGCAACTAAATACAATGTTTATATTTGGGTTGTGATCTAAGAAAATCAAGTTCTGAGAATTTTTTATCAAAATTGAGATTTTAATTGCATTTTAATTTTTATTACATTTAGACCAAAATGTAATAAGACATTAATTTTAGTCAAAAATTTCTCAGAACCTGATTTTCTTAGATCACAACCCATTTTATCGCTTGATGATGGTTGTAAGTAATACCAGCTGTACCAAATTCTGGATCGTCTTACTTAGTCGTTAGAATTTTCTCAGCCGTCACTCTGGCTCCATCATATAGTAACACTAATAATTTTATTTGATTGATTGGATTGGCAGGAGAAATTTGAATTCTGAAAATCTAGTATTGAGATTCTCCAAAGATTATAGAGCAAATGATGTAAATTTAGAGTCTTGATATAACTAACTTTCAACTCCAAACAACCCAAAATCAAAGTTATTTTCTTAGAGCTAGAACACTGAATCTCTCCAAAATGACCGAATTAGGGTGTTTTGCTTTTTGCTATTACTTCATGTTACGGATCTTATGATTTTCAAATGTATGGTATGTTCATAAAGTTATTAATAGCAAATGTCTTTTGTTTTTAATCATATTAAAGTTTGTTAAAACTATCCATAAAACTAGTTATAGGGTGATATTACTTTATAAGTAGAATGAGAAGTTCTGAGATAAGAAGTTGGGAATCAAGCTTTTCATGCAAGTATATTATGTATGTATTCTTGCTTCGCATTCCCGTTCCATTGTACGAAGATTTAATACTTTGGAAAGCTCAAAGAAATAGATGTAGATACACATATAAACCTTCGTATTTGTTAAAAAGGCTTACAGTAATGTAGCCATTACTAAGCTAACTTGCAGATATCATAAGTAAGAGATATACTATTCTTTTTATTTTTTATAGTTGCTTTGGTGCAATTAAATTTGTTATTAATTCCTTGATTTTGAGTGTACTTATTTCCAGACGAAAAATGAATAATTGGAAAGTGTGAAGGATCTGCATGAGACATATTTCAAAAAGCTAACAGATTTCAGTACTACCACAAAAATACGAAATTATTTGAACATAGGACAATTTCAATTCATGGGTAACAGTGGTTGATTAGTAAATGGAATGATACATTTAGTGATTTATTTTGTTACTTAACTCCTGCAATAGGATTATGTATTAATCTAAACTTGTGCGGGTTACGACTTTGTTTATGCTATAATCCTTCATCGCATCAATGTTTGAAGAATAGCGTTTCTGATATTGCATACAGGAAGTATAAAAATTTTTATTGGTATAACCAATTATTTATTTTTTATTTTTTATTTTTTATTTTTTTTAAAAAAACTTTAGAGATGAGAAGGTCGGATCTTGTAATGAATGAATTACTAGTATAGAAAGGACTGTGACGAATATTGGAATGTTCTATATTCATGAAGAAATCTAGGCTTAGCTTGAAAAAAATAATTGTGGTATTCCTGTTCAAAAGTCCTTGGATATTTTTTTTTTGGTTAAAAACCGGATGATCACTCAAGATGATCTTGGATGATCTTTGAGGTCTATCTTTCGCTAATAATTTCATTTGAATTGTTTGTTTATATAAATTTCTTTTTAAATATCATATTTTTGAATTATCTTCAAATAAATTGTCCAAGTTTTTTGATGACATACTGGATCGCGAAAGAAAAATTTTAATAAGGTTGGTTTATTTTATAAAAATAATATATGTTAAATTAAAAAATTGCAGAAGC